ATAAAAGTTCTGTATAGTCATTAGAACTCATAGATAGACAGACGGATGGATAGACGGATAGTTAGACAGATGGATAGATAGATAGACAGATAGTTAGACGGACAGACGGATAGATAGATAGACGGATAGATAAACAGACAGACAGATAGATACAGATAGATAGATAGATAGATAGATAGTTAGATGGACAGACGGATAGATAGATAGACAGACAGACAGATAGATACAGACAGACGGATAGATAGATAGATAGTTAGATGGACAGACGGATAGACAGAGATAGATAGATAGACAGACAGACAGATAGATACAGACAGATGGATAGACAGATGGATAGATAGATAGACAGATAGTTAGACAGATAGATGGATAGATAGACCGAAGGATGGATAGACAGATAGACACAGACAGACAGACAGACATAGATAGATAGATAGATAGATAGGTAGACCGATAGATAGACAGACAAACGGACAGACGGATGGACGGTCGGATAGATAGACAGACAAACAGACAGATAGATAGACAGACAGATAGACAGATAGATAGGTAGACAGATAGACAGATGGATAGACAGACAGACAGACGGATAGACAGATGGATGGACAGACGGACAGACAGATGGACAGACAGACAGACGGATAGACAGATAGATAGATAGACAGACAGACGGATATACAGATAGATAGGTAGACAGATGGATAGACAGACGGACGGACGGACGGATAGATAGGTGGACGGACGGATGGACGGACGGATAGGTAGACAGACAGCTGGATAGACACAGACAGACAGACAGACAGACAGACAGACAGACAGACAGACAGATAGATAGATAGATAGACAGACAGACAGACAGACAGATGGCTAGACAGACAGACAGATGGCTAGACAGACAGACAGACGGATCGACAGACAGACAGACAGACAGACATAGATAGATAGATAGACCAATAGATAGACGGACGGACGGACGGACGGATAGATAGACAGACAGACAGACGGATAGATAGATAGACCGATAGACAGATAGACCGATAGACAGACAGACAGACAGACAGACAGACAGATAGATAGACCGATAGACAGACAGACAGACAGATAGATAGATAGAACGTCAGACAGAAGGATAGATAGGTAGACATATAGACAGATGGACGGACGGACGGATAGATAGACAGACAGATAGATAGACAGACAGATAGATAGACAGACAGACAGACGGATAGACAGATAGATAGGTAGACAGATAGACAGACGGACGGACAGACAGATAGACAGACGGACAGACAGACAGATAGACAGACAGATAGACAGACAGATAGACAGACAGATAGACAGACAGATAGACAGACAGATAGATAGATAGATAGATAGATAGATAGATAGATAGATAGATAGATAGAGATAGATAGATAGATAGATAGATAGATAGACAGACGGATAGATAGGTAGACAGACAGACGCACGGACGGACAGATGGACGGACGGACGGATAGATGGGTAGACAGACAGATGGACAGACAGATGGACAGACAGACAGACGGATAGATAGATAGATAGACAGATAGATGGATGGATGGATGGATGGATGGATGGATGGATGGATGGATGGATGGATGGATAGATAGACAGACAGACGGATAGACAGATAGATAGGTAGACAGACGGACGGACAGACAGATGGACGGACGGATAGATGGGTAGACAGACAGATAGATAGATAGATAGGTAGACGGATGGACGGACGGACGGACGGACAGATAGACGGACGGACGGACAGATAGACAGACAGACGGACGGACGGACGGACGGACGGACGGACGGACGGACGGACGGACAGACAGATAGATGGACGGACGGACGGACGGACGGACGGACAGACAGATAGATAGATAGATAGGTAGACAGATGGATAGACAGATAGACGGACGGACGGACGGACGGACGGATAGATAGATAGATAGATAGATAGATAGATAGATAGATAGATAGATAGACAGACAGATAGATAGATAGATAGATAGATAGATAGATAGATAGATAGATAGACAGACAGACGGATAGACAGATAGATAGATAGATTGGTAGACAGATGGATAGACGGACGGACGGACGGATAGATGGGTAGACAGACAGATAGATAGATAGATAGGTAGACAGATGGACAGACAGATAGACAGACAGACAGATAGACAGCTAGACAAACGGATAGATAGACAGACAGACGGATAGACAGACAGACAGCTGGATAGATAGACGGATAGACATTTTTATTTTAAATTTTTTCTGATTTAATACATTTTTTGTATTTTATTTTGTTTTATTTTTATTTAAGATTATTATGATGATTTAATAATACTTTGCAACAGTTTTTAATTTTTTCATTATTTATTGATGTTAATTTGACATATGCTTTAAGTTTTACCAGGTTAATTAAGTGTTTTTACAATTTAATTATATAGTTTTATTTTAATTTGTTATTTTTATTTAAATTTTTTAAGATTTTTTAAATTAAAAATTTTTCTGATTTAATTTTATTTTTAGTAAGTTTAATTTAAATTTGTTTTTATCATTAAATATTTATTTACTACTTTGTACTTATTTTAAATGTTTCTGATTTTTTTTGTATTTTATTTTCATTTTTATTTTAAAATATATTTTAGTTTTACATTTTTATTTAATTAATTTTGAACCCTAAAATCAAATAATGAATTGGAAGATTATCTCCAGAGTGTCAGAGACACAAAGCAGA